AGTGGTATTTCTCCCACTGTTCATTTTGCTGTTACAGCTGACAGCTTTTTTCTCAGTTTTCTTTTTTTTTTCTTAATCATATTTTCCTTCTGTTTTCTTTGCTTAGTGGTTTAATGCACTTGCAAAAATCACATCCTTATTTTTCTATTTAACACAGTTTGCTCTCAGGAAGTTTACTGGAGCCTCTGCTGTGCTGGAGCTATCATAGGTTAGATCAACAAAAGATTAATCAGTGCCTTCTGCCTGGTAAAGTTCCTAAGGCCTACTTCAGAATCATAGATTCATTTAGGTTGGAGAAGATGTCTGAGTCCCACCATTAACCCACAAATCCACACAGACTAATTGCTCCATCATCTACAAAAGCACTCACTTTTACCCTTAGAATTTTTAAGGCTGGAGAAGACTTCCAGCCATCAACCCAATCTTTCTAGAACACTTGTGGATTATAGTGTTGACTCTGCTGTGGTAATCCTGTTCTGCTTGTGTTGGAAATGTTTTGAGCTTGTTTATTTGTAGCTCATCTACTCACTGAGGTCACTGTGTTTTATTTGCTAGGCTAATACTGTGTACACATTTCTACTTGAGAAGCTGGGGTCAAAGATTTGCAGTATCAGAGTGTGAGTTTTTACACAGAGGCAGCAACTTTTTTTTAAAGAAGGAAAAAGAGAGAAGGGTTTTTCTACTATAGAGAAAAATGATACTTGTGCCTGTGCCACATTTCTGTAATGTCATGAACAAGTAGAAATCCATTTGATGTTCACTAGAATTCCTTATTTAGCAAGTGAAAGAGTTGAGGAGGAATGGAAGGAAAAACAAGTGGCTTTGTAAAAAAAAGGCAAGATTTGTAAAATGAGTCAGTGATGTTTTTTGAGCTTATCAACCCTGCAGTGGGTGTTTGGGCTGTAAAAGCTGCAGTTTGGCTGATTGTCCTACAGTATCTCAGTAGCTTCCTGGTTTAGTCCTGTTTGTTACTGCTTAGGCTTTTAAAGGTGCTGCAGTGGGTGCCTGTTGAAGGTCAAGGGAATAACATCCATCTCTGAACTGGAAAAGAGACTCTGCTACCCAAATGGGAAGGGACCTGGTTATCTTCCCTGGAATGCTGCAGTTGAGCTTCACTTCCTGATGGTGCCAGTTGGGTTTGTCATTAGTTTTCTGTTGAAGATTCCTGTTTGGCCCAGCCACATTGTGGGACTTTACTATCTAACAGCTTTATGCTGCCAAAAGGAGAAAGCTTTGCTTCTGGTGCATCATCTTCAGGCCTTTCGTGGAAGGCAAAAGGTGTGTGTGGCTTTGTGCTGGGTGAACAGGGTGAGTGAGTTCAGTGGAAGGTCAGGTGAGTGTTGGAGCTGGAGCAAACATGGTTAGTAGTGCTGCTGAAAGCCAAGGGGCCAAGCAGGACCTCCCTCTTCTTGTGCCAGCAGGCCATTAAATTAATTCAGGCTGTAGTATGCAACTTCACCTCAGGTTTTCTCTCTGAAGGGAAGCCACTTGCAACTGGATAACAACCAGTTTTCCTTCTGAGTCAGTTCTGTGTGCAGGGATCTGCTCTCTCTGCAGCTGTCAGTGGGTGACCTGCTGGCCCAGGTGCTGCTGCAGTATTTGGGAGAGTTGGATGTGTCTCTGCTCCAATTCTACCTGCTGTGTGAACATGAAGTGATGTCCCTGCCATGCAGAAGCTCCTCATAAAGCACCTGCCTTTATGTTGTGTCATTTGAGGATATTTGTTCCCTTTGCAGTGCAAGTGAGAATTAAGTTTAAATTAGACAAAATAAAACAATCATATTTTCCCATCTCTAACAAGTTGTGAGTGGTTTGTCCCTGTCTGACCATTTATGTTTGTTACAGTTGCTGGAGAAGAAGTTCTTGTTCTGTAAGGATATTCTGACATATATTCTATTCCTGAGGTGCAGTTAAGTTTAAAAAGTCAGACTACCTGCACACTCAGAAGTTTGAATCCAGTATCCAGCTGAGCTTATGGCTGATGGAGCATGAGTATTTGAGTGCCTTGTTTGCCCTGAGAATTCCCTCATCTCTCCAACTACCAGTATGTTCCTGCTGCTGCTTAAGAGTTGCACTTAGTCTTAGGTTTAAGTTACAACTTCAGCAAGGAGTTTGCTCAAGTTGGAGCTCAAAACTGGTTTGTGGGTGAGGGGAGGTTGGAAGAGCTGAAGGCAACCTGGAAGCCCTTTGCATATGTTTACTGCTTTGCAGCTTCTTATACTCCAAAATACCTAGTGGAGTGCTGTAGCCCATTTCTCTGTTAAGAAGTGAGGGCTTAATCTTCTGCTAATTCTCCTCCTAATTAATCTGGGATCTGCCCACGGGTCTGTAAGCTTTAGAAGCCTTGTTTTGCAGGGTAGTTACTGCAAAACTTTTTTCTTTTATGGGAGAAATTAACTCTGTTGCAGCTCCATTTTCTAGAGAAACACTGACCAGTAAAGCTCTGAAAGTGTTTGGTGGGACTGGTGAAGGTAGATGCTTCTCTTGGAGGAGTATGTGAGGCACCTAGTGAAAAGGGGCACGATGTAACTGGGAGAGACCTCAGCCTGCTTCCAAGCTTTCTTTGTTTTGTGAGAAGCTGAGTGCTCTGGAGGTGACGTAGGTGAGCTGGGTACAGATGTTTCCCCTTAAATTCTGTCATAGCAGATTTGATTCAGTGTTTGTTTTGCCTTTTTTTTTTTTCCTTCTGACTATAATTATAGCTTCAAGGGGTTCCTTGCTTCCTCTCTTCAATATTTAAGTTAGTTGGGAATTAATTTCCTTTTTCTGGAGGGGTGGGGTGAGTTTGGATGGTTTAATTTCACTCAACTCCTGCAGTTCTTGTAGAAAAGTAAAGAGGGGAGTGTGCGTGGTTTTATTTGGAATGGTCAAATTCTCTGAGGGCTGAAGGCAGTTCTGGTTTCTAGCTGTGAGTTCAGGGCCAGTTTTTATCTAGGAGAGTGAAGACAGATCTCAGTCTCCTTTATGTTCTTTTGAAGGAGATTTTTCTTCAGGATTATCTGGAAGGAGAAACATGATTTGAGGTTCTTAATGCAACACATACTTTTTAATTAAATTCTAATTTAAGCTTTGGCTTCCAACTTGTTTGACTGCTATAACTCATTTTTACTAGCATTTAGGAGCCTGTAGTGCTTGTTTTGGTAGAAGGCAGCTGTACTTTGAGAGAGCTGTTGTGGACATCTGACCCCCCCTTCCATTGCTGCAGTTAATATCTTCACATGGTTTTGTGTAGCCCATCACTGGCACAGCCAAACACACAATGATCATCTCTGTTGTGTGCAAACTGCTGTTCTTCATCTCTTTACTGCAAATTTTAAGTGACACCTTTATGTTTACCCTCATCCTTCAATGTCTGACTGACTTGTGGATCAGATACAGCTTTTCCTTTGGATTTACTTTTTGTCTTTCTGCTGCTTGTTTAACACTGTGCTGTGTGGAGCATCTCATAAGGAAAAAGGAGTACAGGAGGAGCTTCTTTCTTGTGAGGATGATGGAGCCCTGGAGCAGCTGCCCAGAGAGGCTGTGGAGTCTCCTTCTCTGGAGAGATCCCAAACCCACCTGGATGCCATCCTGGGCAACTCACTGTGTCACTCTAGCAGAGGGGTTGGATGAGATGATCTCCAGAGGTCCCTTCCAACCCCTGCCATTCTGTGATGGTGTATAATTGACCATTTTTTAATATGCTTGGTTCATGTATACCATTGTATCTATATACATTTAGCTACTGCTGAAAAAAAACCTGATTTAACATTTGTCTGCAGAATTTTAGAAGGCTCTTAAGTCTTCAACAGAATTTCAAGTTCTTTAATAAAAAGAAATGACATCACATACTGGATAAAGAAAATAGTAATGTAAATTCTGAACTCATTTAAACCCAAGCAAACAGCCCCTGTGTTGTTGGTGTTAACTGAGGCTAAGTGCAGCAGTGAGCTTATTTAGGAGGGACATACACCTCCTGTGCTTATTTTCTTTGTGATCTATGGGTTAACACTGTTCCTGTTTCCTTGTGGTATTAAATATTAATCACTATTGATCACATGAAGTAGGTGTATGAGGCCAACATCACACAACAGGAGCTTCTGTCCTAGAAATCCTCTGTAGTTACTAAAAATCTTCACAACTTACTTGCGTGGGGTTTTTTTCACCAATTTCCTTACATGCCAGTGTAACAAACAACTCTTAATCTGATTTTATCTAATAGTATTTCTTTTTTTTTTTGGTGTGTAGATACTATGATCAGCTGTGTGCCATTGAACCAAAGTTTCCATTCTCTGAGAATCAGGTAAGACTTTAAACGTGCAACAGCATTGTGGCACCTACAGTGTGTGCCTTCCAAGCCTGTGCCTCATCCTTTGTGCAGGACTTCTCTTGGGCAACACATTTGATGTTTCTGAGCCTTATTTTCCTCATCTTTGTTTATTTTCTAGTCAGTGCTCAAGTATAGTCTAGACTGAAACTTCACCTTTAGTGGCTCTAACTTAGTTTTACAGACGTGGAAATGTTTTGGCTTCAGCTAGTGGTTGCTGTGGTCTAGGTCAGAATGAGTTGTGTTGTGCTGATTCCTCTCCAGCTCTCCTTTTTCCAAGCAGTTTACTTCATACTATGTTCTAAGGGCTTTTTAAAATGGAATTTCTGTGGGAAAACATTTAGTAATGGGTAGAACATGTATGAGCTTTGCTTTTTGAGCTACAATAGATGTTTCATTCACAGCTAACAGAATAAGCCACTTAAGATTCCTGCCTCTGCATCTAAAAATGATTCAATAAACATTGTATCAAAATTAAATTATTTTCACCATATTTCTTTAGAATCCTTTATCTAAGGAGAAATTCAGCTTCATTCCTGTCTATTGAAGTCTTCTTCAGGTAGAGACTGGAATAGATCTTCAGCCTCCTTTTTGTGGTGGAAAACAAATAGTGTTTTTTTGAATGACAAGAATTTACATTTCTTTCCTGATCAAATCATTCTTCAATGGTAATATGTTGATTAAAAGAAAAAGTTGTTTTCAGACTTCCAAGTTACAACTAAGGGAAGAATTTTAATGCAGTTCAAAACTGATCTGAGTTTAGCACATAGCTGCATTCCCTTGTAGCCAAGAACTGCACTTTGGGTCTCAGTGTGCAAATATTTTGACATGGTGATCTGCAGACTTCAAGGCATGGAAAATGGAAAACTAAGGACAGGTTCTGTAGCTCTGTGAAGTGTTCCATCTAAGGGAAATAGTGGAAGCAGCAGTGAGCAGCTGGGGACCAGAACTTCCTGGACTAGCACTGCTGCTAGAGGAAGACACATCAGACATTACTGTGCTCTTTCTGGAATTTTTCTTCCCAACCACTTGAAAAATAGGAGTTTGGTGTTTTTCTGATTTGACACCAGTTGCTGACAACTGTTTTGATCAACTGAATAAGGGATCAAATTGTGGAACTTGAAAGCAGATTGTGAAGAACGTATTTGTATCATCTGTGAAATAGATATTGGAAGTGGAATATAAAACATGCTGATTTAGCTGCATTTTTTCCTGAGTGCATTTTCTGATAATGCCACTCTTGAATTCACTCATAAAAACAAGTGAGTTTTGGTATTAAAAAACAGTTCCAAGGATATTCATAGCTTGGAACAGTGGTGCTGGCTGGCTGAGTGATTTTCTTGAACTGTGCCTATATGAGACTATCAGACTTTTTGGGAGAGGAATGTCTTGGTTTGGAAATAAATTTATCAGTCACTCAGAATACAAGCAGAGCTAAAAGGTGATTTTGAGAATTTCTCATTAGCTTAAAATGCATTGAGCAAACTGACAGGGAGGAAAAAAGATACAATAAACTCATTTTTTAAAAATGCTGCTTTCAATAAAGTTTTCCTGAAACTCCCAGAATGTTTTAGTATTACAAGTGAATTACATGTTTTACATAATTAGAATATAAGAGAATGTATCTGTGATTTTGAGATGTTTTCTGAAGATTTGATATTGAGTTTCAGAGATAAAGATCTTTTTCTCACAACTTTCAGATCTGCGTAACATTTACATGGAAAGATGCTTTTGATAAGGGATCACTTTTTGGAGGATCTGCCAAATTAGGTATGTGCATGTGTTGAATGTGCAAACATTTATGATGATAAATTTTGAGAGTCTTCTCATGTAGCTCTATTGTCAATAGTCTTTTTGGTATTCTCCACACAGCTTTCAAATGAGTTCAACTCTGTTGGTGACAGGTAAATCACTTCAGTGCTTCATGCTGCTCATTTATTCATTACTGAAGAATTTCTGTGAAATTGAGGTTTAATATTAGTTTTTCAGAGGCATAAATAGATGTGAATGGGTGAAATAACTCTCCTGTTACTTAGTTTTAAGTGATTTGCATTCACATTTGAATACCTAAACAAAAGTATTAATGGTAAGGAGTTAGAGTCTATGATCTGTTTTAAACATAGAGGGAAAATTCTTCACTACAAGTTCAGGATCATTCACTGGATTTGGAACATCAGCCAATAAAGACACGAAGACTAAATCCTTTGGAGTGAAGTGAGGAGCTGTTAGGACATGTGTCATCATTTTGTAGAGTTTCTTTTTATACCGAAGAGTTCATCATGAGTAGCACTGCAAGATGATCATTGGAACTTTGAAGTGCCAGACAAAGCCTGAAAAAATGTTGGAGCACTTACTGTCTTCTCAGCTGATCAAGCTTCATGTAGTTCCCTGTTAGTGAGTGTGGAAAGCTGTTGCTTTTTTCAGTGTTCTGAACACTCCTGCTGCAGTTGTGTGAAGTGCATGTGTAACAACACAGTGTTCCAGTGTGCAAGCAGGTGGTACACACCTTTCCATGCTTTACTTTCTAACTGTTCTATGAAATCCTTCTGCATAATCAGAGACCTTCCTGAAGGTGCTGTGGGTTTTTTTTTCTTCAGAATTTTGTTGGTTCTCTTGTTTGGGACTAGCATTCCATCACTGAACAGGTTTCATAGTCAAATTCAGAATAATTAAGTGACTTAAACGTAGTCTGTGAATTGCCAGAGATTTTTAATAATTGTGAGGAACAAGAAGCAGCAATTGTAATGTTGGTGATTCCCCTGAGAATCTGAGTCCATGTCACATTACAGCAGCCTGAGAAAGGTTGCTTGTCTGTAGGTTAATTATATTCCAGTCTAAATAATCTGAGGCAGATGGCCAGAGATTTATGCAACAGCCCATGTGAAATATCAAAGAAATTCTTTACTGAGCAGTAAGTAATGCTCAGTTAACAAGCAAGGGGCACATTTTATTTTGGAACTTTTGAAGCAGATCTTGGCAGAAAGCAATGACCACAAAGGCATCTTTTAGTGTATGTCCTGCAGTGCTCTGTCAAAAATTACCCAGAGGCTGCTCTCCAGATGAACTACTGTGTGTGTATCTGTCACACACCAGAATTAGCTGTGGGCTCTCTTGGTGTAAAGCAAAGTTTTCTGTCACTGAGAGAGGGAAGTTTGTGAGTTCTGAGAGGAGGCAATCCTGTCTCCAAATGGCAGTTCCTTGTAAAACTCCTTTTGACTTCCATGGGGCCAAGATGCAGGCGTGTGACTCAGGAGCTCTGGCTTTGGGGGGACAAACTCTTTCTTTCCCCTCTTCCCTCCTCTCCCAAATCTGTATCACAGGGGTAGCTGATACTGTGGCTGCTTGAAGAGTGACATGTTTCACAGCCTGGCATGTCATCTGAAGTATGTTGGCTGAAGTTAATAGGTAGAAATACAAACTGATGAGTCTGAGGAAAATCTATATTGCCAAACAGCTGTTCCCACTGAAGCACATCACTCTGGAGGTGCAGCCCAGAATATACTGGAATTTTGCATAGGAAGTCATTTGGCACTTCAGAGCCACTTTACTTTCTTGTGTTTGTTTCAGTCACTTGAATAATAAGTTGGACAAGATCCTTTTAGAGAAGTTGTGGACAAACTACAGAAGAGAGACTATCTAGATATAAATGTTTAGTGAGGAAATATTGACTGTGCTACTCCACTTAGGGGAACAAAATGGGGAAAAATGGCATGTCAGATTTAGGGCTGCTTCTCTGAAAATTCAGTGCAGCTCAGGGAGCACTGCCCTAGAAACAAACTTCAGAGATAGGTTAGATAAATATGTAGCTATAGAACTGAAATCTAAAAAAAGTACCTCTTCAGTAGCTTCTGAAACTTCTCCAGCTGGCTTTTCTGTATTCCCCAAAAGGTGTGTGCAGGCCCTTTGTAACAGTAGTAGGAAACGATTATCTGCAGTGTTTAGATTCTTCCAGTGCTGGCATGTGGCCAGTAACCCTTTGAAAGCCATTAATAGGTTCAACATGGTTCCTCTTGAGGTGTTACTGGTTGTAGACCTGTGGGCTCCATCCTCTGGGGCTGGGAAGTACTACAGGAGTTGAAGCTGGACAGCCCACACTACTGTCTTGTGAGCAGGAGTTCTAATTAAGTAAATAATTTGCTGTTCCAGTACAAGTATAATCTGTCCATTTGTCAGCTTTTGCAGTGGGAGACAAGAGATTTGAGAGGTGAGAAGTACCCTGAAATCCAATAGCTAGTGAGACAGAGCCTGTAAAAATCCTTGGCCTCAGTGAGGGTAAATAAGTTCATCTCAGTGAGTTATCAGTTAATCAATGAAGTTCATCTTGCATCCAAGATACAGTAAGAGCATGTAATTGGGCAGTTACTGCCAAGTGATTAGTACATGGAAGTTCATATTTCAGATGATCCTTCAGCAGTGTGAATGAGTTTCTGTATCTTGAGGAGCCTAAAAGCTGCAGTCTTGTTGGAAGGACTTCCAAGTTATTTTGTGAACTGTACAGATTTTCACATTACCACTTAAAATGCTTTATACCCCACTCTATAGTTCCCCATGTGGAAATATTTTGTGCAAATACTCAACTAGATTATGCAAAGCCTTCTGAATCAAGATGCCTTCAACTTTAAAGCTGGGTGATTTATTTTTTTTTTTTTTATTTTTGCTTGAAGCTGTTGACATATTTAAGTACAGATATTAGGAATGTTGGCCTCATCTGTAGGATGCTAGAGTACTGAAGTTTATTTAATTAACAATATGGTTAACTAACTGCTTGTCTTGACTGCAGCTCTGGCAAGGCCTTCTGAATCAAGATGCCTTCAACTTCAAAGCTGGGGGGTTTTTTTATTTGTTTTATTTTTGCTTGAAGCTGTTGATATATTTAAGTACAGATATTAGGAACGTTGGCCTCATCTGTAGGATGTATTTTTTTTTTTTTTATTTTTGCTTGAAGCTGTTGACATATTTAAGTACAGATATTAGGAATGTTGGCCTCATCTGTAGGATGCTAGAGTACTGAAGTTTATTTAATTAACAATATGGTTAACTAACTGCTTGTCTTGACTGCAGCTCTGGCAAGTTTGGGCTATGAGAAGACCTGTGTTTTGTTCAACTGTGGAGCATTGGCAAGCCAGATTGCAGCAGAACAGAACCTAGACAACGATGAAGGACTAAAAGCTGCAGCCAAGCACTACCAGGTACAGAAGCTCCCTGCTCATCCTCAGCAAGTCAGAATTATTCATTTCAGAGTAGCAAAGAAGTATCTTTCAATTTTAAAGCTATATCTTAAACATACACAACATTATTTACATGTTTTCCTCCTTAATTGCAAAGGTGGATTGGCAAGTATCTTGGCATGTATTTATTTACCAGTTTTGCAGGATTTAATTCTATACATTTCTCCATACCCCTTAAAGTGTTGGTAAGTAATAACCCTCAGCTTAAGATGTAACAGTTCTAGTTAATATAAATATTAGTTTTAATGAGTTATATAGTAATAATCTTTATTCTTTGTGGATTGCATTACAATTTCCATGTTCTTATGCCATTAAGAGTAGCCAGTGTGCCTTTACTTGTAGTCTGTCTTGATAAATATTGAAGTGGCTTCAAGAACAAGAAGTCACAAGGGCTTGTTCTCAGTGGCTAAATAAATAGGAGGCCATATATCCAAAAAAGCATTTCTTTTAAGTTGGTTTATGTATTTATAAGATAAATCTGCTTGGAAACATGAATGTTGATGTATTTTGGTGTATGTTTTTTTTTTGTAGTTTGCAAGTGGTGCTTTCCAACACATTAAAGACACTGTCCTGTCAGCCTTGAATCGAGAGCCCACAGTGGACATCTCTCCAGATACAGCTGGAACTCTCAGTCTTATTATGTTGGCTCAAGCCCAAGAAGTCTTTTTTTTGAAAGCTACAAGAGGTATTTCTTAATATATATCTTGTGTATTTACATGCTCATTACAGCTCCCACAGAAACTTGATTAAGTTAAGAGCTTGTAAAGGGCCTTTGAGAAGTTTTTATTTTTGCCTTTAGTGACTCCCTCGGCTCATTACAGCTCCCACAGAAACTTGAGAGCTTGTAAAGGGCCTTTGAGGAGTTTTTATTTTTGCCTTTAGTGATTCCCTCACCCTTTGCAGGTCATAAAACACAAACTACAGATGCTGCTTAAGAATTTTCATTAAGAATGTTCATGTGACAATGGTCAAACTACAGATGCTGCTTAAGAATTTTTTACTGTTCATGTGACAGTGGAGTTGTCCATTTGCCTGTCCTTTCTTTTTATGTCCAAAACCATTAGTCTTTGTCTTCACAGAGGATTTTGTTGGTTAAATTTTTCCCTTTCTCTAACAGAACTGAGAGAACTAGAAATGGTGCATAAGGGTTTTACCACTACTCCCTTCCTCCTCTTTCTGGAGAAGGACTTAATGAGATTTCAGAAAGATATGGCTGGGGTAGGAGACAAAGGAAAATTGTTCAGAGGTGTTTTTTGTTGAACTTGGAGAATGCCCCGTTTATCTTGGAAAGTGAAATGGTGCAGGTAAAACCAAGAATTACATCCCTTGATAATAAAGGCTGAGTGTGTAATGCTGATTCAGAGACTTCTTAGTTTAATACAACTATTAAAGAATGTATGCTTCAAAGAACTTCCCTGTGGGACAGTACTTCTTGGCACAGGATGCTCTTACTCTTTTCTCTTCTGCTTTTCTCTCTGTATTTACAAGAAATTTTGTATCTAGAGATCACAGGTATCTAAAAGTCAAATTAAGGACATAGAGGTCACACCCACCAACTCTGCTCTCTCCCCATGTTTGGCATAAAACGTTGGAAGATGAGGTTATCTTAACTGGGCTGTTTCTTCTCTTCACAGGGAAGATTCCTGAAAATTCTTGTAGCCTTGCTACCTTTAGGAGGATCTCAGTGAGAAGCTGCTGTCCTTCAGCCAGCTGATGAATCATGTTGATGTTCTTTATCATGCTGGTAGCAGTATTTCAGTCTCTGGCTGTTTGGGCATTGCTTTGGAAGAAATCTGTATCAAATATGCCTGAAACTTTTTTTTCAGAGCAAAAGCAGATGCTTAGCTCATTTTGTGGGGGAAATAAATCTTTCTGTCACCTTCTTGATTTCTTCTTATTCCAAGTGTGAAAAAGCTCAAGCAGAACTGATCCATAACCCTCCATGTGCCCACTGAAGGGAAGATGTTTGTGGCTACTCCCCAGACCACAAGTCTGCCAGGGTTAGAATGACAGGCAGGGTAACAATCATTTGACTCTGGAAGCTGTGGAGGTTCCTTTCCTGCCAGGGATTCTGAAGAATCACATTGGACAAAATGGTTAATTTGAGAAAGTTACTTTTCAAGTGGGAATGCTTCAAAGTTTAGTCTCAAAACTTAAATTTAGCTTCTGCTTCATTGACTGTTTGTCTTACTTGCAATATTCTGTTTTTTCTCTCATGTGAGACAGCCCATTTAGCAGCTTTACCAGCTAATCATGTTATTTCTGATAGAACTGAGTTTATTAACAAGTTGAAAGAAAGTGGAAGTGTTTGGCAAAACCCAAACTGCTCTGCCAAATCCAACTCCAGTGCATAACTACAGATTTTTTTTTTTAATTTCTGGCCCTTTTCTTAATGTTTTGAAGTCTGCTTGTGTTCACTATTCCATCTGAAGACATGAATGTTAGCTGCAGTGTTTTAGATAAAAGTGAAAACTGAGGCTTCTGATGGTGAAATTTATTCCAAGCAGCTTGCATGGAGAAATGTCTCCTCTGACATGTCCTTTGTTAAAGGGAATGTAGCTAATATGCCAACACTTTTTTTTCTTCTTTTCTTAGAGCTCAAACTCTGTGAAGGAAGATGCAACTACCACTAGGTGGGGTGAGAAGAGCAGTCTATGTAGATTTTATTTTGGTTTTATTAAAGATTTGGTGCACTGGGCAGAAACATTTTAGCAGGGAATTAAGTTGCTAGATCTCATGAGCTCCTTTCTCTTTGTCATCTAAATTCTGTTGCACAGTGAAAAGGTCTTTCTGGCATACCTTAAATGCTTATAGAAGGTAAATATCATCCTAGTTCATGCCTGAAGTGTGTAGATAGATGTGTGAATACACTGGAATGAGCAGACAGCTCAGGAATTCTTTTGATTTAATTTTGGCTATTAAGCTTATTCTGTGGACTTCCTCATCTGCCCCACGTGTGCTTATCAGTCTGTCAGTAGGTAAAAACCACCTGAATCAGGATTTCTGCTTGTAAGGGCAGCTGTTCAGAGTTTCAATATTTGGATTGATTGCTTTCCTTCTCTTGGAGGGATGAGTTGCTGGTTCAGGGCAGAGATGATTATAAAAGGAGACCAAGGTAAATGCAGCATGTTCCAAATTAGAGCAGTTCTGGCTTCAGGAACAGGATAAGGACATGAGGCAGGGCATGTGGCTGCTGCTAGCCCCATGGGGCTCTGATCTGAAGCAGTGGCTACCACTTGGAGGAGTGTTGGTAGTTATGTCTAGGAATGATGCTTCTGTACTCACTGTAAGCTAACAGGGTGTGAACTGCTGTGGGAGGGACCAGTCCCTTCTTTTCTTTGGTACTTCTGCAGATTTTTCAGAGTCCTGACATGGAGTTGGCCTAGAGAACAGATCCTGCTGGAAAGTAACTGTTTTCTGCTAACTAAATTCTTTGCCTATGGCTGCCCAAACACGTGTGCTGGTGCAAGGGAAGGGCTGGGAGCAAGCTGCCAGAGTTGGAGTGGGACTGGCTTTTATTGGCAGCTTGCTGTTGGTCCAAGGGAAAGCATTGCTCTTCACCCTGTATAAATGCCAGCAGCTGCCACAAGATTTCTTGTACAACTGACTGAACCTTCAGCATCACGACTGAAGCAGAAAATCTGCAAACTGGTGCTGGATGTCAAGAGAGAAGAATGGACCCCACCTCTGAGCTGCAGTGTAAAGCCTAGACCCTTGGAATGCAGTTGTTGCTGTTGGAAGGTGAAGCAGTTTACCTGTTCACTTGTGAAAACTGATGCTAATTATCACTGTTCTTTGTTTTCTCTCCTCCCTTCAGATAAAATGAAAGATGGTATCATAGCTAAACTAGCTAACCAAGCTGCAGATTACTATGGTGATGCTTACAAACAGTGTCAGTATAAAGACACTCTGCCCAAGGTTAGTAACTCTCACAGAAATAATCTGGGGTCTGCTGTTACAGTCAATAACTTATTTTTTACAAAGTACTTGGAATACACTTATTGTATTCTCAAGACAAGCTGACATACTGCTAGATTGAAGGGAGATACACCTGTAACTTGCAAAGCAAAACAGTGGGTTTTAACTAAGTAAAATCTTGTATGAAGTGCATTTACTCAACACAGTTCAAGTGAATTTCCAATGTTTATGTCAGTATTTAGGGATGCCTTCTTAATGCCTTAGTAAATCTGATTTTCAAACTAACACTTTCTAATGGGGCTTAACTGGTTTCTAGTCTCAGTGTCTTCATGTGAACTTTGCTCTCATGGTGACAGCATGACTACAGTGGTACTGCTCACGTGGGTGTAGATGGAGAGTGTCCTCTGTCCTGCCTGCCTTCTCCTCCTCCACCCCAACCCCACCTTGATAATTGTAAATTATCTGAAGTTTAGTCTTGACTATTCATGAGACTCCTGTTGGCTTTGGAAGATGCAGGAGGATCTTTTGTCATGGCTTTGGAGTATATACTGTTTAACAAGTACTTTTAAAACTGAGCAGGTTTTGAGAGTATCAAATGTATCAGTTCTGTTGAAGCCACAGAAAAGGTAGAAAGCTTTTGTACAGTGTTACAAATGTTGAAGGCTGAGGGGAGACCTTCTCACTGACAGGAGGTTGGAGTGAGGTGGGTGTTGGTCTCTTCTCCCAATTAACAAGCAACAGGATGGCAGGAAATGGGCTGAAGTTGAGCCAGGGAAGATTTTGATGGGGTATTAGGAAGAATTTCTTTCCTGACAGAGTGCTGAGGCATTGGCCCAGGCTGCCCAGGGAGGTGGTGGAGTCCCCATCCTTGGAGGGCTCAAAAAATGTGTAGACCTGGCACCTGGGGACATTGTTTAGTGATAGTGGGAGTGTTGGGCTGATGGTTGGAGTTGAAGATCTTAGAGGTCATTTCCAACCTGAATGATTTTCTGATTCCAGTTGAATAACATTTATTTTTGATGTTGTTGGTCTTATGAAATTTATACCTAGCTAAGAAGGAAATATTCATAAAGCAAGCACTGTGGAAGACTGTCCACAGGAGGTGTCCCTTGTGGCTAATTTGCAGTTACTTTTAATTTGTTAATAGCTTTAAAACTCTAAACCAACTATTCAAACTAGCAGTGATCTGTCTTGTTCCAAACCAAACATGAAATACACTAGATATGCTGACAGTATACTAGAGAACTTATTAAAAATATTTTTAGTGCATGGAAATGCTTAATGTATGGTCCTATAACTTAATAAGCAAATTATCTTAGTCAAATAATGGTCCAAGTATTTGCTGAAGGCACTTTTATTCCCTCTGGGGAAAAACAGTTACAGAATTTTTCTTTGGAGGGGGAGGGAAATCAGGTGTTCTTCCTTCTGCTTTCTAATGCAGAGTAGATTTTAATAGTGATAGGAACTGTATGGGTAAGAGCTACTCTGCTAAAGCAGTAGTGTGCATTTTTGTTCTTAAGCAAGAATTTGTACAAATGTCTTTGTAGGCCAGGCAGTGGTTTTAGATATATTTCTGGAAAATGTGTTGTTTAAAGTGAAATTGATATTTTGCTTGGGGTAGATTGTTTTATGTGTGGGTGTATTTTCTCTTGTGCTTTCAGTGGCATTTTACAGATGGGGCCAAATTCTCCTCTAGGTGTTATGTTTGATTTGTGAGAGGTGGTGGAATGTAATACAGCCCTTGCTTTGTGGACCTTCCTAAGCCACAGATCTGCTCCCTGTTCCAGCTGCACAGTCCATACTGGTTCTAGGAACTGACACCAGCTCTGAGAACAGCTGAATGTTTAGGAGTGTTAAATAGAGATTGCCTTGATGCAGTAGACTCCAGTTGCAAGGCCTTCCAGACAAGTCTTTTTTTTCCCAAATTTACCTTCTTTTTTAAAGTATTTCATCCCCGTGGAGGCAGCAAGTTGGCACAAATTGGAAGAAGCAGGTCTTTCTATGCCAAGGTCTTTAAAACATCACTCTGATTTTCCAGTGCTCCTTGATTTAAGAAATAGTAAGGCCAAATCCTTGATCAAAGACCATGCCTGTACTGTGGGCTGCAGCATAATGTTTTCTTCATGTCTGGGTTGGTATTCCTGCAAAGATAAGTGCTTTTATGTCAAAGTCTAAAACTGACTTTTGAATCTTTTAAATTGCTTTCCATGTCTATAGTTATGGTCTTCTTTATTTGTGCTTTGCTTGCATTATTTTAGAGTTACTTTAGTGATAGGCCCAGTGTGGGTGTAAGTGTAATTGCTTTGTTAAATGAAAAATAATAATGAGATAAGGGCTTGTCTTCCTCCCTTCCCCTTCTTTTAGGAATACTGTGTCTTGGCTTTGTCTTGGGGACATTTGGGTGTATTCCTGCAACTATCCTTTCTAACACTTGCATGTATTTACTAATCTCTGAAGTAAATGTTGCGACTTCATGGCTTGAATTTAAATTGTAGCTAATGTAAAATAATGGATGCTAAGTGTTTTGGAACAACATATCAAAAAAAGAGAGACTGGATTCAATCCATGCCAAGTCACGTGGTCTCTGACATTTACCTCTAATGTTTTAACCTATCTAAACCATTAATTGGGTGATTCTAATTTCCTTTTCTTCTTCCTTTTTCTTCCTGCATCCCATGTTGTCTGTGGTGGTTAATGTGGTTGGACTTTCCCCTGGTCAGTATTTTTATTTCCAGGAGGTGTTTCCAGTCCTGGCTGCAAAGCACTGCATTATGCAGGCCAATGCAGAGTATCACCAATCTATCCTGGCAAAACAGCAGAAGAAATTTGGTGAAGAAATTGGGAGGTTGCAGGTGGGTAACTTGTTTTCTTTCTTCTCTGAAAAAGAGGGGAAAACTAAATCCTGAAAAGCTAGTTCAGAGTTATAAAATAGAAATAACTCAAACAATTACAGAGCGTGTTTATCGTAGGAATCAAGTTGTTAGAAGCTGCAAAACCTTCATAAAAGTGAATTTTAATGATTTTTTGGCAGTTCAATACCTCTTGTTACAGTTTCTATTTTCTTGTTTGCTTAGACTTCTCAACTCTCTATAGCTAATGTTACAGATCAGCTAATTACTTAGGATAATTTATTGAAAAGAGCCCCAAAACATCAATTCTACCTGGCTTATACCAAACCCCTTTGTTGCAATCCTGATTTAGAACTGGGTTATTACTGACAATTTTACAAACAGTTGTGTTTTTAGTCTTTATAATTTTCTTGCTCCTCTGTGGTTTCTAGAGGGACCTGGATTTAGATGTTATGAGTAATGTCTTCTCATCATTTTAGTAAGGTAGGGAAAAAATGGCTAAAAATGACTGCTTTCTTACAGTATTGGGAATAAAATAGGTGCCACTTTGACAGACTTGGTAGATATGCACATGGATCCTGTTTATTGATACTCAGCAGTGTTGAGAGACTTAGATAAAACTATCAGGCTGATGTTCTGAAGGTTATCATAATGCATTTTATTGACTTGGAGTAGGATAGAGCTTGAAACTTCTTCTGTATGCTTGTGTGACAATAAGGTGCCTGTACAAATAGCAAGCTGTTATATTATGGCTAAATTACTAGGTGATAAGTGAAGGTGTGCCTGGTTTTTATTCATTGAGTTTCAAACCTGCCCAGCCAATCTCCTTTTCTAGGACTCCACCAGAAAAGAGGTTTTCATGCTGAGTAGTTTTAAGTTCTGGTGTGTTTTTTTTGTTGTTGTGGTTTTGGTTTTTTTAGTGAAGCCTGAGAGAGATACTCCATAATTATTTTAGCACTGCTTCATGAACAGCACATAGAAGTTATAATCCTGTCTCATCTCTTTGATACATTTAGGAAGAGGAGACTTAAATCCTCTTTTCCATAGTTACTAAAATACTGCTTCTGTAATTCATCTAGATTAGAGGTTTGGCATCCTGTTTAATGGTTTTTTTTTCATTAAAACATTTTGGATTTTGGGGTGTCATAGTGAAGCTTTTGCTAGATATGAAGCTGCTCACTCCCCCCTGAACTATTTTGAGTAAAATCCCTTTTTTTTTTTTTCCTTTTTGATACCTATGAGGGGAGAGTATTTTCGTAATGAAATAATATTGATTGTGTGCATTGGCAGTAGTTAGTTGGCTAACTGAGAAGCTCAAAGATAAGCTGTTATTGTAATTAAAACTGTTTTTTTTAGCATGCAGCAGACTTGGTGAAGACGGTGGCGTCCCGGTACGATGAATACATAAACGTTAAGGACCTGGCTGACAAAATCAACCGTGCACTTACAGCTGCCAAAAAAGACAATGACTTCATCTACCACGACAGGGTCCCTGACCTGAAAGATCTGGAGGCCATTGGAAAAGCCAGTCTGGTGAAGGCTACTCCAGTTGCTGTCCCCCTCAGTCAGAAATTCACTGGTAAGGGGCCTGTGTGGGTCGCACAGGACAACCTTGGGAAACACCTGGCCACCCAAGTTCATGTGTACCAGGAAAAAAGGAAACCTTTACTTATGAGTAGGATGAAGTGTTCTTGGAAGTGCCATTTGTCTTTTCCAGCTGGTTGTACTACTTGATGATTAAAAGTACTGGAAGAATAAACCAGAGGTTGAAAAATCAGTATCTGCCACATGCTTTACTCAAAGATTTTCTCAGGAGCTGTATTTTCTATATTAATCCAACATTTGTAATTTCAGAAGGAACACGAATGTGAGGGAGAAGTAATTGTAGAACCTTAGCTAATCTACTTGCTGGCCTTCCATAAAGCTGAAAAATTTCAGTTTGTTGCCTGTACAAGGGAGTGCTGAAAAATTATTCTCTCCCCTTTCTCACTTTTCTTTTAAAAAAGCACAATTGTTAATTAAGCCTTAAGGAAAATCTGATTCATATACCTACAATTGTTTCAAATATAGTACCTTTAAATTATTTCTAAATTTCAGTTTTATAAACTGAAATTATCTAAAGACCTGTAGAAATAGCTTTTGGTTTTAAGGCCTCTTAGGGAGAGGAGGAGAGCATCTTAAACTGTTTAGATCAGTCTTTGTAGCACAACCTGTATGACAGAGCTGTGGAGATGTTTGTGTCCTTTAGATTCCTAGCATAGCTGGGGTAATTGATACTGTTTTAATTGCAGACTTGTTTGAGAAGATGGTTCCACTGCAAGTTCAGCAGTCTGTGAGCCTTTGTAACCAGAGGAAGGCAGAGCTGGTCAACAGGTCAATAGCCCAGATGAGAGAAGCCACAAATCTGGCAAATGGGTGAGTAAGGCTCCTTCTTCCATTTTAGCAAGAGGAGTTATGGAACAGCCTAGAAGCACTGGTTGCCTCACAGCCTGCAGACAGCCAGACACAGCTGAGGGGTTTTTTAGTTGCTCTATGCAGGCTGCTAACTTAACCCATAGGAGGGGTATTTACAACTGCTTGTCTGCAACTGTGAAGACTGAAAGAATATTAAGAATAAATAGTACTTAATATTCTTTCACCTATCTTAATTTTTTTACGAGTCTGACACTTGCTCCCAAAATGTTCCATTCATCTAGAAGGATTTCCACATTTCAGTGGTCAGCTTGATTGTTCCAGTGACTCAATGTGTAATATTTTCCCCTCAAATTCTGTTCTTGAAAATAAGTAGTAATGAAAAAAGTATCAGGCTGAAAGATAGGAATGTAACTCAAGGCAATTTTTATCTACCAGATAGTTGCTACTGAAAATGTTTCCTGTATTTTTTAAGTGCTAAAAGCTGGGATTTGTTAACCTTTTAAGAGCTTTGAAATTTATTTTTGGTGAGGTATGCACTAGAAATAAGGGGAGAGTTTTCAGTGTGAAATTTCTGTCCAGGAGTACATTAAACTCCATTTGCATTACAATTGACTGTGTAACTGTTTGGGTAGCACTGTTATTTACAGGATAAAACCATCTAATCCTGCAACCAAGTTAACATTTTTAACGTGTTGACTCTTCCAGTGTGTTGGCTTCCCTCAATCTCCCTGCTGCTATCGAGGATGTGTCTGGGGATACTGTTCCTCAGTCTATTCTGAACAAGTCGAAGTCTGTGATTGAACAGGGAGGAATTCAGACTGTTGATCAGCTGATCAAAGATCTGCCTGAACTGCTACAAAGGAACAAAGAAATTTTAGATGAAGTAAGCTCAGCAACTGTTAACACTAAAACTTCCTAAAAGCAACCACTGATTTTTTTTCTCTTTAAATGGCAAAAGTGGCCGATTATCCAAAATGCTTGTAAATTTAATAGCACTTGAAAAATGTCATTTAATTGTTCAGTGCATAGGAAAAAGGGGCTTGTTGCCTTGGGATGTTCCTTTACAAGTGTTTCGGTTTAAAATTTGTTAGGGGTGGGGAAAAACATTCAAAGAAATTTGGGTGATCTGTGCCTTTAGTACCTGTTTTATTTGCTAAATTAAATTTATAAGTTGTGTAAGTTTTCTTTATTTTCTATGCTGGCTGTGTATGTTGTAACTGTTAAATTTTTTAGAATGGTTTATAATGCTGATAACATTTTCCCCTTGTAGTCACTAAGATTATTAGATGAAGAAGAAGCTACAGACAATGACCTGCGATCAAAATTCAAAGAACGCTGGCAGAGAACACCATCCAATGACCTCTACAAGCCTTTAAGGGCAGGTAAAGTTCACATTTCATGCTCTGCATTCTGGGGATGCTCTAAAAATATCAGTTCTTGTCATGTAAATTGAAGTAGCTTCCAGTGCTCTGACATAATCTTTAAAGATACAAATGTCAGTTGGTTATTGGGATTTGAGAGATGCTGGGATAGCAAAGGATCTGCTGCTGCCTGTGCACCCTGGGAGCACACGTGAGCTGTGAAGTTTGGGGAGGTGTGTGGAATGAGAAATGGCTGCTGTCATAAGAATCTGCCTGCAGTTACATAGTCAATACTTTAGGGTGTTTTTCTTTGTACATTAACATCTTATTATTTCCTACGAAGATGTTATTTTCAATTTGGTGGGGTTTTTAAATATAGGTGTCTAGTTCTTGCACTATTTAAAACATAACTTAAAAGCTTAAGTTTTATTTGCCTTACATCACTATTAGTGTGGCCAGCAGGAGCAGGAAAGTGATTGTGCCCTGGACTCAGCACTGGGGAGGCCACAGCTTGGGTCCTGGGGTCAGTTTTCAGCCCTGCAGTATAAAAAAAGAGATCAGGCTGGAGTGGGTGCAGAGAAAGGCAACGAAGCTGGAGAGGGGTCTGGGGAACATGGCTTGTGAGGAGTGGCCGAGGGACCTGGGGTTGTGTAGTCTGGAGAAAAGGAGGCTGAGGAGAGACCTGGCTCTCTGCAAATACCTGCAAGGTGGGTGTTGGTCCCCAGTAACCAGTGATAGGATGAGAGGAACTCTGCTTTGGTTGTGCCAGGGGAGGTTTTGGTGGGATATTAGGCAGAATTCCTTTCCTGACAGAGTGGTGAGGCATTGGCCCAGGCTGCCCAGGGAGGTGGTGAAGTTCCCATCACTGGAGGGGTTCAATAAACATGTAGACATGGCATTTTGGGGACATGGTGTAGTGGTCATAGCAGTGTTGGGTTGATGGTTGGACTTGAAGATCTTAGAGGTCTTAATGGTTCTATGATGTATAAGTCATAATAACTTAATTAGGATGGACTCATAAAGTCTGGATTTTTGCTTAAAATCACAAGAAACTTCTCTGGTGCCAGACCTGATGCAATATTTGGAAATGATGCAGACACTGGTGTTTTTTCCTTCCACCATCAGAGGGAGCCAATTACCAAAACATCATGAGCAAAGCTGTGCAGGCGGACGGGCAGGTGAAGGAGCGCTACCAGGCTCACCGGGACACCATCGCCCTCCTCTGCAAGCCAGAGGCAGAGCTCAACGCAGCCATCCCTTCTGCCAACCCGGCAAAAACACTCCAGGGGAATGAGGTGGGGCACTGAAATCTGTCTGTTTGGGTAGAGGTGTTGGCTAACAAAGCAAACTTAGATGAACTAGTGTGGAAGCTGGTCCTTAGCTCCTCTTGTTTGTCACTGCTGATACAGGATATTACACATCTAGGAGTTGTCTTTTTGTTTAAAATCTGCTTGTGTGTGTTTTGTTATGCTTAGTGTGAACAAATTCATTTGCCACAGGCAACAAAACTGGTTGACTACTATAAAAGGAGCAATCCTCAGTGAGTGGTTTTTGTGTGAGGAAGAATTTCTTCCCTAAAAGTGGTGAGGCATTGACCCAGGCCGCCCAGGGAGGTGGTGGAGTCCCCATCCCTGGAGAGGATCAAAAAACATGTAGACATGGCACTTTGGGGCATGGTTTAGTGGTTGTGGTGGTGTTGGGTTGATGGTTGGATGTGATGGCCTTGGAGGTCTTTTCCAACCTTAATGATTCCAAATGATTCTGTGTTTCCATGGTATAGGGAGTGTAGAGCTCAGGTTCTTAAGGCAATTCAGTGATGTAAAAGGCACAGCCCAGTGTTTTAAAATAGTAAGCAATTAGACCAACTTAATTTCCAAGGAAGTCATGGGTCCTATAAGCAGTTAGATTATTTTTCTCATAGGAGTGGTTTGAAGTCAGTCTTTTTGACTGCTCTTTGAAATATCCTACTGGAGGATATCTGATAAGTTCAAAAATAAAAAAAATGAAGTGTCTTTGTAGTAATTCAGTGTTATAAGTGGAAGCAAATCTTGAAGCAAATATAGCTTGAGAAATGCTTGAATGTCTTTGTTTTGTTGCATTTTGTCCTGATTTGTCATCTTAAACCCATTTAAACAAACACTCATGCAGTGGTGTTGCCAGAATCAGCAGGGAGCGCAAGATGGAAGCGAGGAGTGCTGCAATAATTCCTCTAAATGTGCCAACTTGTGACAATTTTTATTGCCTAGGTTGTTAGCGTATTAAGAACTTTGCTAGCCAGTCTGGATGAAGTGAAGAAGGAGAGAGAACAGCTGGAAAATGACCTGAAATCTGTGAATTTTGACATGACAAGCAAATTCCTGACGGCACTGGCGCAGGATGGTGCTATAAACGAGGAGGCCATCTCTGTGACTGAGCTGGACAGGATCTATGGGAGTTACACACAGAAAGTGCAGGAGTCCCTAAAAAAGCAGGAGGAACTGCTCAAAAACATTCAGGTACAACACCTCGTATGTCTTCTTTCCTCTAAAACTAAGGAGCAAAGACTCCTCTGCCTATCTAGTGCTCTAGAAATCTTTCCTCCTACCCTTTTGGTTGTTCCTCTGTCATAGACCTGCTGATGCTCCTTTACTGCTTGGATCACTGAAAAATACAGGGGATTTTTTATGTTTACTGGAAGGAAATAGGAATTTCTAGCAGACTCCTGAAGCTTTAGTGTAAATTCTCCTGGACTCTCTCTTGCCCCAGTTCTGCAGATGGGCCCTTGAAGGAAGAGTTAAGAAGTTCTGGGTTTGTTTGGGTGTTTCCCCTCATCCCATCTCAAATTCTTTCAGTGATAACAGGAGACCTGTCTTTACTAGAAGACATTTTGGATCTCTGAAGTACATTTTGGTTTATTGCTGTTATCAGCAGGCTTGAGTTAAAGCATTTGTAGAGGTCATCACAGTGAATTTAACAATTTCCCCAAGTTTATTTGTAAATTCAGCCTTAATTTGTCAGTAACACTAGAGACAGGTACCTGAAACATCAGGCAAAGGGGAAG